TGCTGCATTAGTATATATAACTTGAAATTTTCTCCATCAATTATAGAATATTGTCGAATGTGAAGGAATTGCAACTTTTTCCCAATCTAAATGGAGCAGCCTCTTTGGAAGTATTGAGACTAGATCGTTCCCAGTTGAAGGAGGTTCCTCCTAATCTTTGTCGTCAATGTCCGAAACTTAAAAGTCTGTAAGTTTAATCGAAATTATTTAGTAAAAAAATCTGTAACAGTATTATTTTATAATTATCTGTTACATCTTTCTTATCAATAATCACTATCAACATGACTCTACATACGTCGTATTTCTGTTTTTAGCGATATGAAATCCAATTTTTTAACGGAGATACCAAATTTACGAAACTGTAATGAACTTCGCGTTTTGTAAGTATGTAACGTAATACGCAAATATAATATAAGTATATGAAATACATTTAAATATCGAAGACAGTGTAAGTGTAATACAAATCTTGATTTTTTTAGGGATTTAGCTAGTAACATGATTTCTATATTACCCGACGATGCTTTCAAAGGTTTAAATATGTTACACGATCTTCTCCTGTCCAATAATAACTTGCGAAGCATTTCCAGTGACGCGTTCACCGGATTATCTAGACTCCAAGTTTTGTAAGTTTTGTAAGACTTGTTCGACTCAAGCTTTGATTTTTATGTGTTTCTAATAATTCATATTCAATTTATATTTATTTTAGAGACTTGGAGAATAATTATATCGAATACATACATCCTGATGCATTTAGAGAAACAAAACGGTTACAGGACTTGTAAGTACATCTATACAGAATGTGTTTTATAAATCAATATTTTTACAAATCGATTTGAACGTAATTATAAGATACAGATTTTTATTTACAGGAATTTAGGAAATAATGTTTTCCCTACACTGCCGATAAGAGGTCTTGCAGGATTATTGCATCTTAAAACGTTTAATAATCCTGCACTGCGAGAATTCCCATCTCCTGAAAGATTTCCGCGAGTACAAACAATGTTGCTGTCATACGCTTACCACTGCTGCTCGTTTCTCTCACTTGAAATAGAGGAATCGGTCACAAAATCGCCGGTGCAAGAATCAATTTTATTTCCGACCGATGATTTCGATACTAGTTTATGGAATTCGACATTTAGCGATATTTGGCCGCAGTTGGGTAAGTAACTTTTCTCTATATTCTCTTTTTTTTTTTTCGTGCATTAACCTTTTTTGCAGCTTTTATCTCATATTTTCGATGCTTATCATGCCTTATTTACTTAACACTTAATTGCTGCAAAGCATCTACTGTGAATTAATTAATTCGGTCGTTGAGTAGCCTGCGAGATTATTGGATACGCGTATAAAGAGCAAATATTTTCATTCATCACTCGTATCATCGCATCACATTTCATCATTGATCTTTGCGGCACTGAAGTGATAACATTTTTTAGATAACTTGACCGACAAATTCGGATCGCAGATAAATGAACTTTGGGCTAACTTTGGTTCAGATTTTACTTACCCCGGAAACCTGCCTTCCTACGTAGAGGATTACTTCGAGAATCTAAATGGTCGAACGACATCGACGAGTCGGAGTGTACCCTCTCGTATCCAATGCTTGCCACAACCCGGTACGTCAGACAGTTGAATGATTCGCATATGTATATGTGTGCGTACATGTATAATATGTATAATATGCATGTGAAATTTTCAGGTCCCTTCCTACCGTGCCAAGATTTATTTGACTGGTGGACCTTACGGTGCGGCGTATGGATAGTCTTCCTTCTTGCCATGCTCGGGAATGGCACTGTAGTATTCGTCTTGATATTCTCGAGAAGCAAAATGGATGTGCCACGATTTTTAGTCTGCAATTTAGCCGCTGCCGATTTTTTCATGGGTGTTTATCTAGGTAATTTTCTCTTGTCTTTCTCCAATATTTACCAATGTTAACGTTATTGTGTATCTAATTGTACGTGTTATTCGTGCATATATGCATCTATTGTATGTATATATATATCGGTTGTACTAACTGATGGAAGATCTTTACATCTGTCTTCCTCAAGAAGAGATCTGTATTCGACGAGCGATGTGTATTTTTTTTGTTTGTTTTTTTTTTTAGGTTTATTGGCTGTTGTTGATGCATCGACATTAGGAGAGTTTCGAATGTACGCGATACCGTGGCAAATGTCGGCTGGATGTCAGCTGGCTGGCTTCCTGGGAGTCCTTAGCTCCGAACTGAGCGTGTATACCCTTGCTGTGATCACTTTGGAAAGAAATTACGCGATAACGCACGCGATGCATCTAAACAAGCGACTCTCCTTGAAGCATGCTGGCTACATTATGACGATAGGTTGGTGTTTCGCTCTGTCCATGGCGAGCCTGCCGTTGTTGGGAGTTTCGGATTACAGAAAATTCGCTATTTGCTTGCCGTTCGAAACTAATGGCAGCGCGGCACTCGCATACGTGGTATTTCTCATGCTGATTAACGGAGTAGCTTTTCTGATATTAATGGGGTGCTACTTGAAGATGTACTGCGCGATACGAGGCTCTCAGGCGTGGAATTCGAACGATTCTCGTATAGCGAAAAGAATGGCGCTGCTCGTCTTCACCGATTTTCTCTGCTGGTCACCGATAGCCTTCTTTTCTCTCACCGCGACCTTCGGATTGCAGCTAGTGTCTCTAGAGCAAGCGAAAGTTTTCGCGGTATTCGTGCTACCGCTCAACTCTTGTTGCAACCCCTTCCTATACGCGATTCTTACAAAACAATTTAAGAAGGATTGCGTGTTGATATGCAAAGCAATCGAGGAGTCGCGCGTAACCCGTGGTATCGGTAGGTGCCGGCACAGTTCGAATTTTAGCAATCGGCAGACGCCCGCCAATACAAACAGTCTCGTCGATCGGTCATCGCGAGAGAATCAGGGACTTGAAACACCGTGCACTTGTAATTCGAGATTCCTGGAAACTGGAAGCCGTTGCTCATCTTATCGTTGGTGGAGCGCTGGAATATTCTGGCCGTGTACACGCGACTCCCGACCGCGGCACGCGCGTAACGATCAATACGCCTATCAGATTGCCCAGATTCAACAGAAGCAGCACAAGCGAGCGTCCTCGGTGTCATCCAGCGAGAATTTCTCCTCGTCCAGATCAGATTCTTGGCGACAGACGCATCACTGCGGCATTCCGCTCAGACTGCTAGATCCAAAACGGAGGACTTCCTCCTGGCTGATCACTCGAAAACCATCGCAGGATTCGAATTTAAGTTCCTCGCGCAACGACTCTTCCGGTTCCGCGACCACTGCCAGCACCAGTACCTGGCGCATCTCGAGATCCAGTGCCTCTCTAGAAATTAGCGCGCGTAATACGCCGAGACCGATTAGACCGAAGCCGCGACTGACTCGTCAACTGGCCATTCAGGAACCGGAACCTCCGGGATCCCCGGGAAGGCTGGCCGTTAGACTACTCGCCACGATACCTTCCGCGGCTGAGACCAGTGATCAGCAAGACGACGAGAATATACCGACGAATTAAATATTTCTATCTCTAACTATATGTATATTTTTGTGTATTATACATATGTAATATGCGTCGCATTTTTTTAATGTATGCTCGTCGAGCAGATTCTTCGACAAATTCAGTATTAACAACTTCTTCGTTGGTATACCTGCGTAGCGTGTAGCTATATGTATGTACGTATATATTTATATTTATGGCATTTTGTATATACGTATGTACGTATATACAATCTTTAGAATTGTTGCTTCAGTGAAATAAGCAACGAAAACGTGCTAGACGTTATATAAAGATTATATTTATCACGATACGGTTTTAAATACGTTTCTGTTTTGTTATTTAATGTTGTTATTTATAATCGTAATACATCTATTTTAAACGAAGTATGTTTTTCCAATGGAACATCAATGGAATATATAAACCGGCGTTATTAAGAACTAATTGGCGAATTTATGTAATACGTGCAATTGTTCTTGCGACGAAACGTAATCAGATTTATCTCGGATGTCAAATCGACACTAATCCATTTTAGTTAATTGTATAAACGTCTAACGAAGTAGTCCGTCCGTTCATACATGTATATCTACGTATTTGTTATATATTTATACTTTTATGTTATAAGACTGATGAGTTTTTTAACTCTGTACCATTTACACCGATCGTGGGTCAAAGAGTTTTAGCTACTAGTCTCAGTAGCCAGTAGTCGTTCGATAGCTGTTGTACATCAAACTCTATATACGTATATAATATCATTAAATATATATATATATATATATATATATATATATAATGATAATATATATGCACACGTAATGAATGATGTTATGACTTATGTAATAAATAAATCCATACAAAAACTATCGTAACAGTTTTACCGTCCTAGGTATAAGATTTTGAGCCAAATCGCAGTTTACCTCTTACGCAGTATTTGAGTCTGGTGCTTATTTATATTGGCAGGTTATATTATTTTACTGTATATGGACGGCATTGTATTCATCGTTATCAAGCGTGAACTCGTACGTATTGTACAAACCATTATTTACATTTCAAGATATAAGTTGCATAAACGAATTCAATTGATAATATCGAAAGGATTAATCGATAATTGTGAATTTTGTCGAGTGGTTTGATAGAAATAGTTAATAATAGCATGTGTGATGTTAAATAAAATCGAATAAAATCTTTATGAAAAATTGATCGATTGGTAATAAGTATTTTTTGATCGGCAATTGGTTGGTTTTTAAAGTGTGTAAAATAATAGAAACAAAATTAATATAATGCAAATTATAAAACAAATGTCATAAAATCCATACGAAAAAAACCACAATGTTTCAACGTGATTCTATTTATTTCATATTGTGGTATGTCCGCGGTTATTATTTGTTTGGCAATTCTTTAAACGGTTCATTTATTTTTGTAAAATGTCACTTTCAAGGAAGACGTGCTGTATGTATTTGCAAGCAATATCGTAATCTTGTACCAAGAATATAATAATTTAAATAACAATATACTAATTAAATTATCTATTTGTATAAATATTCAACTGCAACGAAGATTTATATGGCGCGTAATGCGAAATAAATCTTCGTATAACTTTACATATGCTGCTTAACAAGTAATAAGGTCAGATCATTCATTTCAAAAATAACATAGAGATATATTGTACATAGCCTTCGAAACTGTCCTTTATAAATATATATAAATTCATTGCTTCAAAAATCTCTAAGGAAGAACATTTTGTGGAGAGTTATAGCGACCACTGCATGACAAAGCTGACACATTTCAGTCTCATATTTATTTTACGTATATTTATCGTTTTGCAATAATAATAAAATTGATAATCTTTCGATTTAAATAGAAATTTCAGCACAAAAGAACAAGTTTGAACGCTCGGACAAATTACTAATCAAATTATGTGAAATGTTTCGAATTTTTATACTGAAATTGAGACGTGTCAGTCTAGTCATAAAGTTATAAATTTTTTTTTACCGAAGTCACTCAAAACAATTTTGTGGTAAAGATAAAAATCGTGCGACTAACGTATTTGAGCATACAAAGGAATAATCGGATTCAACACCACTGACAAAAACTAACGTGCCAAAACATCATCATTTGCAAACAAATCTAGTATGTTGAGAAATAGTTACGTAATTATATATTTACGCGTTCGTGCGAGCGTAAAATAACAATGATAATTTTTTAACAAATTACTAAAATTACGGAGTCCCAGCCTCGCTATGATATAAGCCACATCCTGATATGATATAAGCCATTTTCTAAACTGAGTGCATATAAGTGAAGGTCAAGTATTATGATGTCAAAATATCTTATTAATTATGTCTATGTACACAATAATATAATTACGTTCTAGTGGCATCACGGTTCGAAGCAAAAACATATGGAAAGAAGATAGGGCTTTGAAATGGCATTCACTCTGAAACAACCTAAATTTCCTGAAAAATCTATATGATTGTATAGCTAATCTTTTAAGACAAATTTATCTGACGATTGTTATTACATGTTCTTGCATAAATATTCCTACAGTTTGAAGATGTAATTTGGATAATAGAAAATTACAAGGATTCAAATAGAAATCCCAATGTTGTCGGTTATAGGATATGTTTGTAAGAGATGTGGGGAAAAAATCATTTTGCTATAACTAATTGTTTTAAGCGCGCGCTTGAGATAAAATCTTGTACAGTATTTTACAATCTACTTACGAGTACGTGTATGTGATATAAATGTATAAAATTTGTATTAAAATGTTTTCGCTTTGCCAAAGTGCCGAAGTAAAACACGTGTAGGTATTATTGCCAGTATATACGGACGGTACGAGAATTAATAATAATTTTAGTAACTTCGTTTTACGCAGATATTCTTGTTGCGATACAGGTCTTTGCGTATTATTCATAATATGATGACGTAAGAGCAAATGACATGCAGACAAGAGTACTTTTGACATTGAATTTGTGCCCAGCCCAGTACTTAGACGATGACTAAAACTATGGAATTATATCGCGATAAAAAAAGATTACGCTAACAATTATTATTATTATTATTAATATTATTATTATTATTATTACTAATGTCATCGTGAAAAAATCCTTACTTCATAAAAGTTTGCGGCTTGGAGAACATTTTAGTCCTCCTAAAAAGTACATACCGAAAATATATATTGCCATAATATTAAAACTTTTCAATATTGCAATTCTAAAAATCTATTTATCTAGGTCTTATCGGATGTCTTAATTCCGTGGTGTATCCGTTGACTCATGTTTTATTATTATTTAGCGCATAGCGTAAGTTTGGCAAAGTAGAAGGAACACCGGGGCGTCAAACATCCTAAATAATCATTACATTTCTGTGAGTTTATACGCGCGCACAAGAAAAAAAAGGCAAACAGAAGAAGAGATAAAGAGAAAGAGAGATGTATGTGTTTGTGTGTGTGTGTGTGTGTGTGTGTCACGTGAATAATAGTAACTAATAATTAATAATTACTGATCAAATAATTCTTAAGTGCATGTCGCGATTACAACTGCGATTGTAACGGATAGCAATTAAGTAACAAGGAGATTATGTGACTAGCGGGCATCACGTAATTTTAGTTTTGTTCTTCCTAAAAGCTGGAAAGTGTAGCTTCCTGCGCCTTCGTTTAAGCTCATCGTTGTCGGCGGTAGAATTGGAATCGGTTGAGAGCGTCTCATCGTCGACTGACATTACCGTAGGTAATTCTTTAAACATTTTTTTAGCGCCCGTTGTAGTTGCAGTTGTCGTTATCGTTGTTGTCGTTGTCGTCGTCATCGTCGTCATCGTCGTCGTCGCCGTCGCTGTCGCCGTCGCCGTCGCCGTCGTCATCACCGTCCCCGCTATCATTGTATTCGTCAATGTTGTCGCAGGATGATAATTAGACTTATCCGAGACAGCAAGGGAATTTTCCGAATACGACGTTTTCGGCAGAAACAACGAAGTTTTATCCTCGTTGACCAATATGTTTGTGTCTTGGCTATAAGAACGTACAATGCTGGACTTTTCTTTGTACGGCGCAATCTTTCCGGAGGCTCCAACAGGCTCTTCCGGTCCATCACCTAGTACAAAATGGACGAACCCGTGCGTTTCTTTCTCCGCTTCGCTGCTTGAAGAATCGGAGAGTTCATTTCCAAATGTTCGACCACCCGGTGGTATTGACGACTCCTTCCACGTTGAGTTCTCCAAAATACCTACGAATATGCCAAGTGTATGATGTCCAAAATGCAAATTCCTTTCTTTATCACTATCAAAAGGACAATGGTACTAATGAAAGCTGCAATTTGCGTTGCCAAGTATACAGTAGAAAAATTGATTCTCTCATGCACCGCTTTAACACATTGGAAATTATGAGACTCGTGTCATCAGAAGTCCTCTTTTACATTTTAATTAATTTCTTAATTGGTTCCATATTAAAATATATGTAGTAAATTAGAATTATGTGTGTGTGCATTATACAAAATAAAGCTTGCACTTAGAGTAAAGTTTATGTAATTCATCGTTCAGTTGCATTCAGAATCATTTTTCGTATAATTTATCATCAATATATACAGTATATATAATCTCAAATTTGACCACTTATTTTCTTTACGAGATAATTTTTTTAATCGATTAGTTTCCTGCGTTAGTTAGTACCAGTCCACTTTTCTAAGTTTCTTTATCTAAACTACAAATACTACAGATGATAATCTTTGCGAAGTTGCAATCACCAGAAAATAATAAGATCCGAAAATCGATGAATTATAGTTTTAAATAAGTATGCGTGTAAGCATACATATTTTGACTGTCTATTATTTAATTTAATACTATGCGAGTAATTTAATGTGCGCCAGGATTTGAAATGAAAAACATGCAGCAAATCGGAGTACTAAAGTTCAATATAGGTCATATTAACAAGTCCACATGTTTGTATTTTTTTCAAGCTCACTTGAATTTATTAATAGCGTTTACTGAAAATTTCATACAGAAAAATAACGCCATGTGTTATATAATCTTTATAAAATCAAAAACTCACTAAACTCAATGTAATATACACATATGGAACATTCTAAGGCATGATTTCTTTGACAAAACAATACATGGCTTACAAAAATTATTTTAGGAGCAACAATTTAAGCCTTAATTGGTAATCGTTTACAACTAGATTTTATTGATATTTTTTGATCCCTTGGAAATAACAAAATGTCACATTTGACACAACATTATTTGAGACAAAGTTTTTTTTTTCAATATGCACACAATTCAGTTAATGTTAATAAAATCAATCCTAAAAATATTGTACATGTATACATATATCTTATTTAGATGTATAATGCCCATGATACATTGATTGTCGACGGTATCTTATAATAGAAAGTTATTGCACATCTTTTCATGGATTCTTTCTGTATTTTATTATATATATATATATATATATATATATATATATATATGTATATGTATAACTTTGACTGTAAAATACGTATCTATGTACATTTATAAAACAGTATATTGTTATTATGTACAATTTTATATTTTATTTTGTCATATTCATATAAGTAGATAATATTTTAATAGGTTTTCAATCATTAATCCTTGAGCTATTGTCATGTACATGTTGCAATCAAATCTAATACTAATGTCATAACGTGTGTAATAAACATATAACTGGAATGTAATTAAATATTAAAAAAAAATCATATTCCTTGCGTAATTAGATTTTTTTTAATTCATAAAATTAATAATTTTCTTTATGGCAATTAAGTTTTATTTTATAATAAAAACACTATATTTATGTGAGATTTATTTTGCTACTTAATAAATATCAATCAAATCATCAAGATTATATCTTAAGAAAAAACATAGTCCCTCTAAAAAAAAATGATAAACATAGCTAAAATAGCTGATTGTACATAAAACAAAATATAATACATACATAGACACAGTAGCTTCCATAACTCCCATTTATGCATTACTTATAAATTCAATATTATTTTGCCATAGCATTGTTTTAATATATCAATCTTCTTTAGTTTTATTATTATTAACCGATTCACACATGAGTATTTATAAAATTAATTTTTACTTTCTGTCTCATATGTCACATATCCAAAATGTATAAATACATTGGCATATATTGGCACGATAATGGCATCATTTATTATTACTTGTTGTATAATCTCTTATTTATTAGGCAACATATGCAAAATTGGATTGCATTTCGCATTCCTCATATGCATATGTTAGCCATGTTATTACATAGTGGTTACGATGTACACCTAAGGCACATGATATTCCAATGTTAATTACCGAAATTGTATAATGCTATATATCTGTTATTATATTTGTTATTGGTATAAAGTTATCAATGCTACAAAAAATATTCTCTCTATTATTAAACACAGAATTCAACTCATTAGTAAACTATCGTCAAAAAGGGTTCAATACCATGTGGCCGATGTATGCGTGTGTTCGCGCGCACGCGCGCGCACGTGTATACAACATATAAACAGGCCACAATGATAACAATAAAATGAGCATTGGTACATCAATCTAAGTACTCATTGGAATCCGTATCCAGCTTACCTGCAGTGACTGCACTGACCGACGACGGTGTGTACACAGAACTTGCCTCATCATCTAAATCATCTTGGCTACTGAGTCGTCCTGTAATATATTACATAGAAATCCTTTAGAATTTTACAAAACTGTAAAATCATTGAAAGCTTACGAATATTATTCGTCTGGCAATTACAATCTTTTAGCAAGAAACGATAATTAATACATTATTATGTTTTAATTATTATATTATTATGGGGGGTTAGATACCTCTTAGTCCAAGACCTCTACCATTTGGTGTTCCTCTGTATAAAACTGTCTCTAAGTAATTTAAACCATTATTGTTAATTATATTAAAACCGCAGAGTAATTCGATCTGTTTCCAACGATGTACTCTTTCTTTCAATTCATTTGTTAGTTCATTCAATGCAGTTCTTGCTTCAACTATGCTCTTATCAACCTCATCGATAGACTTTCCGTGAGTCGAAACAAAGGCACCTACCAAGCTGGAACGTTTCTTTCGCAATTTTTCACACTGCAATATAATACATAAATTTTATTCTTTATAATGTATGCGATACATTTATTCCTTTAAGTTAATTGAGATAATCTACAGTACAAATATTGAATTAATTGCATGAAATGATTTTAAAAAAAAAAAGGTCTTTTACCGCTTCACGTGCTTGTTCAAGTTGTTTTTCAGCTGCTATCTTTTTATTCGTATACGCTTTATTCTCAATTTCATGAGTCAATTGCAGCCAGTGCTGCAATCCAGCTGGTGGTGACCAACACCTGTCTTCAAGTTCACCCTCAGCACGCTGTAATTCCAACTTTAACATCTGTGTAACGTCAAGATACATAAATTGATAAGAATATATTAATTTGCATACATTATATATTTATATATATAATAAAGAACGGTATTAACTTCAATTTCCGCTTTCAATTGTGATACTTCAAGATCCGAGTACGAAGTATGTAATCCCAAGCTTTCATCTTGCAAACGTTTTTCCAAATTCTGTTTTTCGGTAGCCGCACTTTCTTGTTCCATTCTTGCTCTTTCCAGTTCTTTCTGCAATTGGTATGTAATGCAATTTTAATAAAATTTTCTAGTTAAAGATATATCTATTTCTAATTTTGTTAAGATTAATTTCTGATACATCTTTAGAACAAGATACCTGCAAATTTTCTAGCGCAAGTTCTGCTTTATGCAAACTTTCCATGTCCTTCATCATTCTATGAAGATGCTTTTGCGAATTTTTCTTTTGTTGATATGCGTACCAGCATCCAATAAGTGCTCCAAATAATAATGTGACCAATACCAAATCTTTGATGTTATGTCCAGTATCTATTAAGTATTACATGTAATTTTAAATAAGATATAAATAGATCATACTAAAGCACATATAATATCAAATACTACCTTTGGGAGGACCAAAAAGAACAACATCCATTGCTTTTAAAGCAATTTTTTGTTTGTGGATAGGATCCTTGATACCCAAAACATTGCTAAGATAATGCATATTGTTTACAGCTAATCTAAAATAAACGTTTTTGTTTAAAGACCTTTAAATATTTTTATAAAAATTTTTATAAATATATGTGTGTGTGTGTGTGTGTGTGTGTGTGTGTGTACACGGGGCGATCTCACTGCTCATATACTTGGCATGAGACATTACCATGTCTGTTGATGTCATAGCTACATAAAAGATAAAAGCATACAACATTCTTTTATTAAATCTAAATAAACTTACCGAGGAAGCGTAGCACCAGTCACACGGTGCTGTATAAAAGTAGGAACATATTGAGGAAGCTCAACGTTGGAAGTTAACCATTCCGATGTTTGTTCTATAGTCCAATTATGAACCTAACATATAGAAACCACGCAATGTATATACAATCATCAGATTTTATATACAATACTACAAAATGTCAACAGGTAATAGCTGTACTGCTATCTTTAGTAGTAGCATAAAAATTGACATAAAAAGATGTCATACTTCTGATCGCAACCAGGCTTCCCAGAGTTCTCGCACGCTAATATGCATGTCGTCATTGTGATGGAAAGCCCTTTGTCTCCGTTCATAACCGGCTTCATACTGTAGTTCTTCTCTCAAAAACTGTCAAAGTTGTAAAGACTTGTAAATTTACTTAGAAACATTACGCGTACAAGTTAGTTTGAGATATTTTAGATGTTGTAAAGCGATATATAGATATCCTTACGTCATCTGATTCAGATAAATCAACATTTCCATTGGCGTCGTCATCCAATTGACTGTGAAGAGATTTTATAGCCTCTAAACCTAATCGATCGTGAGAAGCCATAGTGATGCAAGCTAGGTCGTCGTTGCAGGTGTCTGTAGCTGTGCAAAAACAACAAGTTAACCGCGCGGGCATACGAGGTGCGCTCGGCCTTCGGAGTGAAAAGGTTTATTTCGAGTAAGCGAGAGTGACGCGACTCACTAGATTCGTGAGCCACCGCTCGAGCCAATCCATCGGTAAGGGTGGCGGAGAACGCTGCTATTTTGGAATGTGGAGTGCTCGAGGCACTGGTTTGAAAGGTCGAGGTAGAATCGAGGGCTCCGCCGCTGGCCGCTACGGTGCCGAGGGACCAGTACAACAGATGAATTCCCAGTAATATAAGCGCGTCGAGGCTCGCGGATGTTTGCATCTTAGGTTAGCACCCAGCCTCCTCCTGACACCTCGCGCGAGCTCCTCTCGCGCCTATCCCGCGTGCGGACTAAGCGGAGTGTCGGTGCGGTTCGAGAGACCCTCCGACTTCCTCGCTCGCACCTTCGCTTGCCGATATTCACGATCGTGAATATATTCAAGGTTATCGATGATTATCAGACTCGGACCGACGACGATATATCTCGACGAGCGCATAACACAAGCGTGACGGGTGACCGATTACGACTTACGAGTGCAACGGCTTCATAACTGTGTCACGCGCTAATATTATTAGCCCCATAAAGGTGGCCTCCGTTAATATTCGAGCTGGACGAAGACATACGCCGCACGCGCCTCACGTCAATTAAGCCAAATTAAGTACACTGCTAAGCGCTAACTGCTATGCTTATGCTATGTGCTATTGCTATCCCCCCGAATCAGATGTTTTCCGACGTTTTATATCCAAGGTTACTAATAGCGCTTCCGATTCCGATTCACACCAATCATCACACCGGATCACACCGGATCGGACTGCGATGGCGCGCGCCGCGCGCGGGCTAGGCGAAGAGGGCACGATTAAGCTCGATCTTCATGAGCTCTCTAGGGTGCCGTCCTATGGCAGAGATTTTTCACGTAACGCGTATTGCGAGATTCGAATCTTCGCTAAGTGGGGTTTGAGTCTCCGCTAAGTGGGATTCGAATGCGCGCGCACTATAAAAGTGCAGCGGGAGAATAAATTCAATAAATCCCGCTAAAATGTGGTTCGAGTCTCTGCTAAGTTGGGTTCGAATCTTCGCTAAGTGGGGTTTGAGTCTCCGCTAAGTGGAGTTCGAATGCACGCGCGCTACTATAAGTGCAGCAGGAGAATAAATTCAATAAATCTCCGCTAAAATGTGGTTCGAATCTCTACTAAGTTGGGTTCGAATCTTCGCTAAGTGGGGTTCGAGTCTTCGTTAAGTGGGTTCGAATCTCCGCTAAATTCATATATACATATATGATTTATGAATTTAGCGGAGACTCAAACCCCACTTAGCGAAGATTCGAACCTCGCAATACGCGTTACGTGAAAAATCTCTGCCATATGGGACGGCACCCTTAATTATTTCGTATTGAATTTGCGTTAATTTAAATATCTATTGGAAGGCAAATTTATTCGCGGAGTGACAAGAGAATTCATGAATGTATGAAAATTGAACTTAAAGTTTGAGAATTTAAAGCTAAGTTTCGGCCAATCGGATGATACTGGATAATGCCAATCGAGTTTGTTCCGATTGGTCGAATCCCGAACACTCCATTTTGCAATTTCCAACGAGCTTACACACTCGTATACCGCGTATGTCTAAATATTCCTACGTCCATGACCCAAAACCGTGTCTCTGACATTTTAACATTTGTGTTCGAATACGTGTGTGTGAGAGAGATTAAACATAAGTTCAAAGAGAATAAATAACAGATTATACGGTATTAAATGGAACGCTGGCTAGGTCCACTCTTTTCCTAGCTAGAAGATGCTCACGCGAGACTCTGTCTCTATCATACAATACATATAGCTCGAATACATCGATGCTCCGAAAACTATGTGTGTGTCGGACATAAATAGAGAAGCTCCGTTACTCGAAACCTCGAATGACAAATTCCCGCGTTTCCACGCTTGAGAACATTTTACCAAATCGAAAGAGAGAGCTGCGAGGATGACGAGTGCAGCACGGAGGTCGCGACAAATTTATTTTTATGTAATTTCGCTTGTGAATTGAATATAGTCCAGTGTTTCGACGCGCACAGAAATGGCGGATGCTATATTTATCACGCATTTCGTACTCTTGTTGACATTTATATTATGTTCAGGTATGAAGATAAACTGTCGAGCGATATTCGTATAATAAAATATAAATTACATGTAACACGTAACTCTCTCTCTCTCTTTCTCTCTCTCTCTCTCTACATAGACATCTGTAAATATCTACTATGTCTATTTCTATATCTTTGTCAATTCTTTATAGAGTTGCCCGTCTATGTCGCTTAGTTCTGGCTATAAGATTAATTAATTCTTTATTTAATTAAGTCTTTATAAAATTGAACTTTATATACAATATACAGTGTATCCTTCTATCTAATTTTTTTCCAATAAATTTCTATTACAATTATTTTTATTGATGTAGATGCATTTATGCTAGACAATTATCTACTATACCCGATTTTGGATTTTATTTATGTACTGTTTATATGTAATTTAATTAATTTTCTAGGTGAACGAGAGATTGCCTTACAGGACCAAGATATTTCTTTTGACGATGAAAAATCAGATCCACCTGAGCTTTTGGATCATAGTCTTGGTTTCAACACAATCAGTCAAAAACGTTTTAAATGCCATGTGTGTGACGACTCGGAATGTTTGCCACCTAAAACCTGCACCGACGCAGTCACTGTAAAAATTATTGTATTATTCTGCTTAGCTTCTGCTTATGAATTTTCTCTTTTATGCAAATCTTCTTTTAACTTTGTCTCAAAAGTGTTGGAAGTCCACGATGAGAGAAGCTGATGGTAAAGAGTATGTCAACCGTGGCTGTTATACAAAAGAGGAACATAAATTATTGATGTGTAATAAAGAAAATAGCCAAAATGTTGATCATTATAAGGAAAGGAACATCAGAGGGCTATCAGGTGGTGCTCAATTCTCTATAGAATGTTGTCAAGCAGATTTTTGTAACGTTGGACCATATCCTAAGTTGGAAGATTATACAGCAAGTAAGATATAATCTAAACTAATAAATAATTAACATTCTTAAGAAGAAAATTAAAATTTGTTAAAAGTGATTTTTATGCTTTACATATATTGCTTTTAGATACTGACAAGGAATATCATGCATTAAAATTAACATTTGCGATTCTTGGAATGCTGGTCGGGATTTTTGGAGGAATCGCATTCGGTCTAATGTTGCAACGAATACGAAGAAAACGACCGATGCCGCCCCGTCAGAATAAACTTATTATAGATTCCGAAATTGAACCTTCCATAATGCATTTCTCATTTTCTTCGCCTACATCATCCGCCACTTATAATTCGCATGAGCTTAGAGCAACGGCTGCTGGTGATAGTACACTTAAAGTACGTATCATCACATTTCTTACATAACAATACATAAGCAAGCATACAAGTAGACATTAATTAATTAATTAATGCCAACTTATTTTTGTGCAGGAGTACTTAGATGGACGAAGTTTGACCAGTGGTTCCGGTTCTGGATTACCCTTGTTAGTACAAAGAACTTTAGCTAAGCAAGTAGCTTTAGTAGAGTGTCTCGGTAACGGTAGCAGTGGGGGATTCGGTGGAGAAGTGTGGAGAGGGGTTTGGCACGGCGAAAATGTAGCCGTAAAAATTTATTTCTCGCGAGACGAAGCTGCATGGGCCAGAGAGACCGAGGTTTACTCTCAACTGTTACCGTCCAGGCACGACAATATCCTAGGATATATCGGTAGCGATATGACCAGTAGAGCCAGTTGCACTCAACTCTGGTTGGTGATGCAGTATCATCCTCTCGGCTCGCTCTTTGATCATCTCAATCGGTCGCCGCATCCATTGACACCTCATCAAACGCTCAATATTTGTCTGAGTATTGCCAATGGTTTGCTTTATCTGCACACGGAGATCCGCGGAACCAGAGGAAAACCGGCTATGGCCCATCGTAATCTCAAATCGAAGAATATCCTGGTGAAAACCAATGGTGGCTGCGTAATTGCCGATTTCGCGTTAGCAGTTACGCAGGATCGTCTCGTAGCAGACAGATTTGACTTACGACAAGGAACGAAACGCTATATGAGTCCGGAAATTCTTGATCAAACGTTAGTGCTTGAATTGCTTGCTTTAAATTGGCTTTAAACATACACTATACAAGTTGGCCAAATCTCAATCTGCTGTGCTTATTCCATATTATTTTTAGGATAAACGTCGAATGTTTAGAGAGCTTTAGACGAGCTGATATCTACAGTTTAGGATTGATACTATGGGAAGTCTGTCGCAGATGCATAAGTAACGGTGTAGCCTTGGAATACGCGATGCCATACAGCGAATGGTTGCCAAGCAGCAATCAAGAACCCTCCATAGAAGAAATGCGTAAACTGGTCTCGTTTGACCAGCGAAGGCCGCCCCTTCCTAACAGATGGCATTCTGACCCGGTAAATTATTTTTCTGCTATTACTCTTATTAGTGGCTGGAAGACATAATTGAGACAGTCAATTAAATAAAGTTTAAATTATGTTTATCGCTTATTACGATTATATATTATATTAGCATGAATAATTGAGTTTCAAATGTTCCTTTTGCAGACTTTGGCTGGAACGGGAAAGCTAATGCGGGAGTGTTGGCATGGGAAACCAGCGGCCAGACTGCCTATTCTTAGGGTAAAGAAGACACTCGTTAAATTAGCAGCTAGTGATTCACGTGTTCATTTACCCCTTGACTGACCAGCGTTCATCTTACCGGGTTCTCTTTCATCCTCCTATTTATTATTGCAATTGCTGCACCAACCTGTCATGTATATTATAAGTTTAATCAACATTCACGTGTCATCAGATCGTTATATCATGAAGATGAAGAAATATCGTGTATTGACATATCCAACTAATGATGGTAATAAGTTTGTTAATGTTTGGCATATGAATTTTATTGCCTTATGTTCCATTACTGTTATCTTACTCTGGAACAATAATAGCATTAAGTGTATAATTTCGTAGCATTGATCGGATCAAAATAAAAAAATACTTGTTTATTCAATAGACAAGAAATTAGATATTCTGATTATCTAAGATTATTTGTTTAAAAAAATAGCTATTATAGGGGAGAATATAGATTTTCATAATTTACTTGATTGCAGAAAAGCGAATGATATAATGATACAATTTTTCTAATCGAGATTAATTTTAGTGTTCGATATTTTCATTTAACATAATCGATTCACTTTATTATAATATTAAGAAGTTTAATAACATCATTTTGAATGTTTTTCTAAATGATTATGGCTCTCAATTTAGTTTAGCAAGTAGTACATTTGTATGTACAAAAATACTAATATACAATCGTGTCGGTAATATCAGATATACATATAATATTGTTATTTCTAATAAATTCCTTTTAAACATCTCATCTAAATTGAAATATTTCTTTAAAGATTCTTTAAGTAACAATGCCTAACATCGAAGGTTTGAACAAATAATCAAAAGATTTTTGTAAATATATAAATGTATCTCTACTAATAGAATTATTATATAAATATCACACGTCTTTCTTATCTTACAATTAGAAGCCTGGTTATATCAGCGAATTACAGATAGAAATAATTGATAGGTATGAATGAAGTGTGTAAGATTATTACAAAAATATTTGACTGTACGATACTTGGAATATAATTTCATGAATTGTTTTTCTATTCAACGTTTATATATAGGTATAATTATGTAAAAAATAATCGAGGTACCATTAAAGAATGTACGAGGAACTTGACAGTACGTCATATAGTATGATCAGTTGTAATGCAATCATTGTACATAGATTTGTATCTAACAAATACTTTATATTGACACAAAATATGCTGACATCGTGTAATGGATTATCTTAAATTATCATCCTTTAAAGGTAATAACAATAACTTTTCCAACAAAATGCTGTTATTTGAACTTCGACTGCCAATGCATTGTTCAAAAAATTGATGGAGATGTGACGGATCATTCGTATGCAGTATAATGCTAAATGCATATCTCCATATTAAAGGCTCTAATTCAACGGGACATTCGAGAAGTCGAGGAAATAAATTTAACGCATGCTTCCAATCTTGACGGGCGACATAAGATTCCATCTCTAACAATGTTAAACTCTTTGAAAATCCTACAAGCGATGTCCTACTTTTCTTATCGCCTTGAAATCTCTTGCAATAATAGGCAACTTTCTGATCATTGACTTCTTCCATTTTTTGTCGTTTTTTTCTCTCCGCGTTATGCTTCATTACAAGTTTTATAGCTTTATCCTAAAAAAAAAAACAAAATCACAATTGTAGCTTTTCGACCATGTAATTTAGAATATTGACGCCATATTATCGCTATGATAAATTACATACCACATTAGATTTTGTGATTTTTCGACGAGTTGGATCGTGCGACATAGTTCCACCTATAAATATCTTTCCTTTTCTTTTCTCAAATATTCATCTTGTTGCGTGAAATTTATAAATATAATTGCATTATCAAACAATTTAAATAATGCATGTATAAACAGAAAAGCAGTTTTAGGTTAGATAAGGTTATATTTAAAATTACCTAATACACCTTCTCTCTTTCTTTCTCTCATATACTTTAATGTATATTAGGCGAATAGAAATTTACGTTTTTAACCATTTCAAAGTAAAATAATTTTTTATAAATTTTGTGACTCAGTGCTAGTGGGGAAAAAATTTTGATAAACAACAAACAGAACGAAGCTTTCAGTTGCACTCATTTGCACTCTCTACCACTTTCTACACTCGATTTGATTCGATTCTCCGTCTTTCTCCTTTCTTTTTTTCTTTCTCTAAAAGGAATTTTTTTTTCATAAATCCTATTTACATAATTTGACCATTTGTTTAATCCAATTGATTAATTCCTAGTCTATCTTTTGTCTCCGAACGATTTCTAATATCGTGGACATAAGTGTTAAATGCAAGTAACAAACTTTATGTATAAATGTATATATGTATATATATTAACGCACAAGTATATAGTAATTCCAATCAACTCTTGCTAATTTTTTATTATAATACAAAGTCACAGCTCGATAATATAATACGTAATATACACATTTACATCATTTTCTGCAGTAAAGAAAGCAAAGTTTGGCATCTCTCTTTCACCTGCAACAAAAAATTTAATTATTAATACATATATCAGGCGTGTGTGTGCGCGCGCGCATGTATATGAAAAATATATACAATTTTAAAATTAAAAGTAAAAAAATATTACTTGATCAACAGTACGATTTTCTAATTTTTCACTGATCAATAGGAATGAATTTTCAGAATATTCCTTTTTGATATCTTGTAGCAAAATCATATCTTCTTGACGTGTCCATGGTTTATTGTTAATTAAATCAGATTTCGATGGCATATTATCTTCCATTGCGCTGTTTCTAAACGCTGATTCTATATTTCTGTTATCTAGAAAAATAAAAACAATATATTATTTGGGTTACATTACACTTATATTATTGTCAAATTTTAAGAGTAATTTAATTAAAATGAAATTTACTTGAACTACAACCAATATTGTTTGTATTTGAAGAAATTTGTGTTTTTGTAGTCACTTCAGTACTTGACAAGTTATCTTGCATTGATAATTGCGTACAATTATTTTCTGTTTCTGTAAATTCACTTGTTTTTTCGTGTTTCATAATATCAAGCTCATTGTGTTCTAATTTCGAAGTGTCATTTTCTTCAATCTTCTTTTCACGTTTATTCTTGCAGTGAGATATACGCATTCGTTTATCTGTGATTGCATGATCTATAGTGCCTATTCTTTTTAAAATTTTCTTTTTATCCGTTTTTAGTGTAAATTTGACATTTCTTTTCGACTTTGTTATTGCCTTCTCGTTATCTTCGTTATCTTTCAACGGCGAATATTTCGTAGTGCATTGCTTCTGACAAATCTGATCCTCGTGACTAGATTCATTCTTTGATGACTTGCGTCGTTTTTTCGAAGAGATTGATGGAATAGTTTTATCAGCAATTTTTAATGATATACGTGCAATATTTTCCAATTTCTCCTGATCCTCTCCAGGAAATGTAATTTTTGCAGGTCTTAATCCTTCAGGCGTTTGAAGATAAATTCTTCCATTAAGAAACTATATATACAAAAGAGTACAAATAGATTCAATTAAATATCTATAATAAGGAATATAAATACAAAAAAGTTAAATAATTATGATGCATACCCGTGTACCACAGGAAACACAATGTTCAGAATTATTCTTCATATTTGCTTCATCAGTGTTATGACAATCACATTTACAATTCTCCCCACCATATGGAACTTCCTGATATGTTGCTGTGGGTAATTCTATATTCTCGTACAGCTCTGATGCATTTTCAGTGTAAGTTGTGTTTTTATCATAAGGTCCTAATGGACATGTCATGTTTTCAAACATATGAGGCGCAAGTAAACTGGTAAAAATATCAAATGAAATTATATGATAATTATTAGGATTACATAATTTTTATAAATAGATTATGATAGGAAATCTTGTATAATCTTGCATATAAGTTAATTCTTAATTAGATATCGGTTTCACACAGATATTTCCCTTATTTATATTTATTACATTGCAAAATAAATGCCTAAATAATTTAAATGGATTCTTTTTCTTGTTTTATAAACTAGATTTGGTCTAAAAATATTGATATAAAATTAAGAATCACCATGTGCAACCACCTGCAACAATTTTCATTTATATGTAATAAAATTACCTTTCAGGAGGTTTTCCAGTAGGTAGAATTTGCAAGAACAGATCCATAACGAGGGAATGACCTTTAAAAACAGAACTCATAACGGTATAAACGTTTTCTAAAGTTGTGTGTGGATCAGATGAAAGTTGTGTGATTGCCTGCATCATCTTTGCTATCCGTGATGGTTGCTTAGCAAAATATATTTGTGCAACATGGACAAAATCATTCATTTTTTGTAACATCATATATTCTGTAGATTTACCAATCATTGCAGCTTGATGTGGTTTTAAAAATAATAGAAAATCTGTGCATATTTCTGGATAATTCTGTAATTTTTTACATACTTCTTGATACAATTGGACTGTTAGTAAGTCTTTCTTAATTGCACTATCTTGTAACATCTCTTTATTTGCTGGAAATTCCTCGGATCTATCAGTTATTGACGGGTCAATAACTGTGTGGTTAATACTTTCTAATTTTTCGCTATAGTCCAAATATAATTTTATCACAGCCTTAAATGTCTCTGGATTATTGGATTCTAATATCAAGTGCAGCTTCTGAAGATATGACGCTGCAAATTCTATAAAAATATATACAAATAAAAAAATAGAATAATAAATTATATTTTATAAAATATCAATATCTCACTCTAATCTCTTGAAGAACTCACTTGCTTCACGTTCTTCTTCGGTCAATGGATTCTCAGCTTTTAATAATCTTTTAATGATCTCTAATTCTCTAGTTTGTTTAGCCTTTTTCCTACTTACAGAATCTTTTATTATTGTACTACTGGCTAACATTAATTCTGCTATTTCTTCTTCGTTATCCTATGTGAAAAAAATATATATTTAGATAAATATTAGTATATATTTTTTTGTTAAGGCAAAATAGGACTCACAACTTTGGACGCGGAGCAATGTTTATCAATATTCTTCTCTGTGGTATCCTTTTCTTTAGATTTTAAAGTATTGCAATTAGACGAATTCTTTGAACCTAAAGCTTGTGCCATCAATTTCATATTTTGGGCACTTTTCGTTTTTGCTAATCGCGGAGTGGTCTTCCGTATTTGTGGTAATTCTGATGATATTTGTGGTGATTCCTTAGATACTTTTGAGCTTCTGGTCAATACAGTATTTAATTTTGTATTATTTTTATCAGGCAATTTATCTGTTTGCATTGGTTTTACATCTGAAGTATTTGCTTTTAAGGAAGAAGAAGAATTTGTATGCACCTTATATACTGCCGTTTTTCTTTTATGTGCCTCCGTATTTTGTATATTATTATCAAGTACTTTTTTATCACTACTATTATCGGTATTAACATTTCTTTTAGTAGAATTATCAATTTTAGATGAAGCTTTAGGATTTAAAGTTGCAGGTAATATTTTTGGTAACATATTTACAATTGGATTTCGTAAAAAATGATTAGGGATATAAGGATATGATTTCGCTATTGCATTCATAGTAATTCCTCTTTTTTCAAGAGAAAAATTATTATACGGGTTAAATATACATCTACTTTTTGCCGAATCATTTTTGTACTCTTTTTTCTGTAATAAAAAATTAATATACTATAATAATATAAATAAGAAGTTAATATAACCATTACATATATTATCACAGATAAACTTATTAAATTGTTGCAGCTATGTGTAATTTACGGTATAAATAAAACACTATAGCTGCATCAAATAAATTAGTTTTTTCATTTAAATATATAAGCAATATTTATAATGTTGTTATACTTACAAGATAAATTTGCCATTTTAGAGGTAAAAGTTCTATTGGTTGGTCCTTTGGAGCTTTAGGCTTACTTTCAAGTGTTATGTAATGTATTATTTTAGGAGCGCAACCTTTTTCAAAATAATGCTATACGCAACAAATTTTTATTTAATTATACATATTGGCGAAATATTTACAAATCTCAAAAAAATATTCAGTGTAAATATTTAATACCTTAATTGGATTTTGATCTTTGGAAACGCGTCTCTTGTAAATATGATGAAATATTCCTCGTGCATCTCTGCATTGTAACAAATTAAGACTAATAAGTTGAGCTGCGTCCATTAACTGCATTCTCTTTCTATGAAATTTTCTTGGTCTAGACGTGACGAATGGTAAGAATTTCTCTAGGCCCAATGAAATTAAACTGGAAATGTCATAAATAAATGAGTAGGGTAAAATAAAATGTTTTTAATACAAATTTTAGTATACTTTAATTTTGAATATACTTACGTTTCTTCCGATTTTAAATATGTAGATTTTGTGTGTCTAATTCCATGTCTGAAAGGTATCAACGGTAGAAGCTGTGGGTACATAAGAGCTTTACTTTCGACAAATAATTTCTCTAATTCAGGTAAAAATTGTTCAGTATGTCTCCACTTATTTGCACGATACATTTTAGATTTAGTAGTTTCATTTGTTACATTCTTTTTAAAGTTTGCAGAAAACTTGGTGTCACTAAACTTATTTTCCCAAGTTGATACCAATTTTAAAGCTGCTTCCAAATTTTTTGCATTTGGTCCATTACTCATACATCTAACAAGTATTAGTGACATTTCTTATCAGAAACCATGATTTAATTGATTCACTGTCTAATTCAATATCTAATATATTATATTGTATATCATCGTACCTTAAATTATTCAAGTACTGTTTATATATTTTTGCCATTGAATGATATTCTGGATGCATGTGTGTCATAATGAAATGCTGTGCCAGTAATTGTACATGTTGCTGTAATTGTATCTCTAATAGAAGACGTTGCTCAAAATTGAACAATTCTGGCGGTTCAGATTCTGCAGGTGGTGGTAAATGATGTACCGCAGAGGAATTCTAAAGGTATAAAAAGCATGGGTAAGAATTATTACAGTTTTTACTAAAATTTGTGTTTGCATTCACGCCGTAACGTGACATAACGTTTTTCTTACCATAGCATCACTTTCAATTGGTGGTGTTGTATTATCAAGAACTTTCTTCTTTTTTGATACTTCTTGCTCTTGCATCGAGAACATAGGAGTTAATTCAAGTAATTCTGCAATTAAATCATATTGCTCCTTACGAGGAACTTCCACTGCTCTGTCTGTCCTAAGCTCTTCCTTGTCCACTAATAACATTTGTTCAAGTTAGATATAATTCTTATATTCGGAATATCTCAAGAAAAAGAAAAGAAAATATATTATAATAAAGGCATATTATATCATTCTATGAGAATACGTACATAAATCTGTTTCTTCATCCTCCAAGATATTGTATTCTGGATCTGCTTCTGGATCATCTTCTACAGCTGGTTCCTGTGTCAAAGGTTGCGTATATTGTTTCAAAGTCTTCAAAAAGTCATAATAATCTTCATTATTCTCCCAATCCCAATCGTCAATTATATCATCAGTAGTTGGTATATCAGGTGGTATAAATGCTTGCTCTATTTCCTCCAAAGAAGTCTCACTTAAAGATAACTTGGAGCGTGTTCTTTGGCCAATACTTTCTTCTTCTGTTGCAACATGTGGAATACTGAAAAAAATATATTTATCAATTATTAAAATAAATTGATGTAATACTGCAAGATATTTTACGTAAGTAATAAATATTGAAAAAAACTATTACAATTAATCAAATGTAATATAAATATTTTTCACATACGCAGGTATTTTAAAAATTCCTTCAGAATCATATTGTACATGCGATGATATTTGTTGTTCAGAAGAAGCTACATCCTTATTATTTGTTGACGCTGACAACTGTAATTCCACATCACTACTTGCTGTGTTTTCGACTTCTCTATCATCGTCACTTTGTTTATCGTGTTCAGGATTATATTCTTCATCAGATGAATCTTCTGGCAGCTCCTCCTGAATCAAAGCTTGCACTTCTGAGGAAGTTTTTTGCGCTGTAGTGATGGGCCATGGTATATTGACTTTAGCAGCTGCTAATTTCCTAGAAAAAGAAAAACAAACCAACGAAAAGTCATATCTTGTGCAAATATTTGTTACACACATGAGAGAAACAAAATTAACAATTTTTTAAACAACAAAACATACTTGGCTTTAGCTCTTGTAAGTTTGGGACCAAAGTTAACATCATTTTCTGTATCTTGAAGCCACTTTTGTACCATTGTCATTAAATGTTCATAGGGGATAACATGCTTCAAAATGTTTTTAACATTAGTGGGAGTTAAATTGGTTTTGGCTGCTTTAGCATCAAGTTGTCTCTCAATCTCTTCTTCCATTTCATTAAGCACCGATGCTTCTTCAATAGCTTCTCTCTTATGCTTGCTGGATGGTTCGTAATTATCCACTTCGGATATATCGATTTGCAGGTCTGCATTCTCAGAATCGGTCGAGTTCTCGCTATTAACGTCATTGAAATCAAAGTTAATTGAAAAAGAGAGATTGCATTTCTTGGGTGATTCGATGAAGGCAACGGAAGATGTCAATGCGTCGATATCACTCTGGACAGGCTTGTTTGCGGATTCCTCCATTTTCAACAAAAACAACTTTTAGCAAATCTGTAATTAATTATAAATACTAATTGCGATTTTATTTTCCTAAAAAAAAAAAACGTTATTATTTCGGCAATGAAAAATCTCTTTAACCTCTAACCGTTTCTGTCATTTAAGAGCGTCACGCGATACGGAGAAATGGAGAAACAAATCCCGCGCATGTATCACGCATGCGCAAAAAGGTAGGAAACTTTACTAAATGAAAAGGCCTAGAGAATTGTTTCGTATCAAAATAAAAATCACTGAACGCGCTTAGTCTCTGCCGCCGCAGCTGATTGGCTGAACGCGCCCGTACAACGCCCTGTTGTGAATTGGCTTAATTTTCTGTTTACAAGTAACGCGAATGAAAATCAGGACTAATTTAAGAAAGTGAAGTGAACATCGACTTATCGACATGTTTTGTATACGATTTATAAAGGTTATGTCTCGTGCGAATTTTTAAATTGTGCCGGGGATACCTTTCTTTATGAGGATTAACTCTGACATGTAACAAGATTTGAAGATTGCTTATCAAGTTGCAACAGTTACGTAGCCTCGGACAACGATTAAAAAAAAAATGAAGTTGGTCAAGCCAAATTGGGTTACTCACGATGGTTTGTAATATTTATTGCTTTCGCACGATGCCTCGAATTGTTATAATTTTTACGAAGGATTTAATATCAATTTTTCGCCAGGGTATCCAATATTCTCTATTGATATACATCCCAATGGGAAGAGATTTGCCACTGGTGGTCAAGGTATACCCATATATATCTTACATTATATATCTTTTAAGATCTCGAATGTACATATGAAGTCAGAGTAACATAAACGAAATGCCAATGAAATACAAATAATTACACAATTAGAATTTTACTCTTGCACTTTTTATTATTATTTTTGATTTTTGAATGTTAGGTGGCGATTCAGGAAGAGTCGTTATATGGAATATGGAACCGGTAGTTGACGAGACTGCTGAATTAGACTCTAATGTTCCAAAGATGCTCTGCCAATTGGACAATCATCTTGGTAAAGATTAATTTTGTTAATATTATTTTATATTTATATTACCAACTTACTGGGTTATTAAATAATATGCTTTTACTTTCATTTAGCATGTGTGAATTGTGTACGATGGAGCAATAGTGGATTGTTGGCATCGGGTGGCGTAGACAAACTCATTATGATTTGGCGATTATCTGGATCAGGAGGAAGCTCTATTTTTGGTGGAAAAGCCAGCGTGGAAACTTGGAGGTGTATCGCAACATTACGTTCACACGAAGCTGATGTGCTGGATCTTGCATGGGCACCACATAGTCCATGGTTGGCTTCCGCTTCGGTGGATAACAGTGTTATAGTATGGGATGCTTCCAAGTTTCCTGCGGTAGTTGCCGTACTAAAAGGCCACACAGGCTTTGTAAAAGGAATTACTTGGGATCCTGTGGGAAAATACTTGGCATCTCAGTCTGATGACAAAACATTGAGGGTGTGGCGTACTACGGATTGGACGGAAGCAGCGTTAATATCTGAGCCTTTCGATGAATGTGGCGGAACGACTCATGTCCTAAGACTTTCTTGGAGTCCAGATGGTCAGTATTTGGTATCTGCCCATGCTATGAATGGAGGAGGGCCTACAGCTCAAATAATAGAGAGAGACGGATGGACACAGGATAAAGATTTTGTTGGGCATAGGAAGGCAGTAACTTGTGTTGTAAGCATTCACATGACATACTCCTTTTTTTCTTTTTTCCTTTTAATATACTAAAAAGACTTTTATCGGAAATTATTGCCTCAAGTATCTGTATAATTCTTTTTCTAGAGATTTAATGGCAATATTCTACAGAAGAAACAGCCAGGTTCCTCTAAACCGCAGCAGTATTGCTGTGTTGCAATAGGATCGCGAGATCGTTCTCTGTCTGTGTGGTTAACATCTTTAAAAAGACCTTTGGTCGTGATTCACGAGTTGTTCACACATTCTGTGTTAGATGCCAGTTGGTCACCGTGTGGTCTTCGCCTTGCCGCATGTTCTTGGGATGGAACAGCTGTATTTATTGAATTTACTCAACAAGAATTAGGACAACCTCTCGATCCCGCTGAACAAGTAATTATATGCACTACATACGCGCGACTTATTATTATTTTTATACATTTTATAGACTTAATTATTCTTTTGTGTTTACAGAGTAGCTTACATGAACGATTGTATGGTAAACCATTGGTTCAAGGAGGTTGCATGGTGATGGAAGCACCAGAACTCCTCAATTTGAAGCAACCGGCATCGAATCAATCTTCTCAAGTATCATCTACTCCCATCATTCCTCCTGTCACCAATACCGCGACCACTCCGGTTAAGGGACCTATCAATAAACAAATCGAAACGAGAACTTCGGATGGGAAAAGAAGAATTACTCCTATGTTCATTCCACCGCCAGCAGATACAACGTAAGTTGTAATATATCAATTTTATTTATCTATTCACTTAAGTCTGGGTTTAATATTGAATCTTGTAACGTTTTCGTCAACGTTTTTCAGAGATACAAATATCAGTGGTAGTTTATGCACGCCAACGTTCACGAGTAAAGTACAAACAAAAAGCTCGATCGTGATAGAAAAACGTAACGACGTTGTTGCACCTAATGTTACTTCGTCGTCCGTAAAATCAATTGCCGTCGACGCCCCGGCATCGTCCCTTACACTGAAACGCAAGGAGCAAACAACGCCGAAAATACACCATTCTTCGCCGAATAAGAAGCCCAAATTCGTCTCCGATAGAAACATGAGTCAGACGTTACTGCCTCCATTGAAGCCGTCCAGCTCATTGTCTCAGCAGGCGGGTCATTACGCTGTCACTGTCACTAATAGTCAGGGCTTGGCTCATTTGCAAGTATTTAAAGGCACAGATTCTGAACCAACGTGGGATCTCTATTTAGGATACAGCGCTGTGGCGTTGGCGGCATCACCGGCTGTGATAGCCTTGGGTTTGGAGGATGGAAGTCTTCACACATTTCATCCTGCAAAAGGAAGCCGGCCAGCACCGCCGTTAGCGCCACCGGCACCTTTGGCAAAGGTTCACGCTGTTGGAAACGCGGTAATTTGTTTCACCAATTTAATTAGTTCATCTATCTATGCTTATAATGTAATTGTGAAAGAATTCTTTTAATAGGTGATGGTGATATCGAGCTGTGGTGCGGTTCGTGTATGGGAAATAGGAAATACATGCAGAATGATCGTTTCAACTTCGGCTGCTCATTTAGCAGCGCCTGGAACGTCCCTATTGTCATGCACTTTATATAACGGGATGCCTCATGTAGCATTTACTAATGCACGAGCGTATATATATCATAAGGATATGGGTATAGCCAATAATTCTCGTTTTGTTTTTATACTTATCTATCTATAACTATAACGATTATCCTACATATATCGTGTATAGGAACATGGCTGTTAATTGGAGATAGTCAAGACCCTGTGTGGCGATGGTCTTCATTCAATGTACTGAGCACTTCTGGTAATAGAGCACCTAGAGGACCTTTATCATCGCTGCAGGAAGGACTGCTTAGAACCTCCGGGAATACTTTACCAAATCCACGATTACCGCATAGTGCACCAAGTGTGGTTTCCTATTTGGAACAGCAGTTACTCGCATCCAAAGCTCTCGGAAGTGCCCAAGAATACGTTCATTGGCTCATGGCTTTAGTGTCATTCTTACTAACGCAAGGTACGTCATGTAATAATCTATATTTCATTCTTGTGTATTTCTTAAAATATGGATTTTCGCGCGAAACGGATTACTATTCACCTCGTACTCTTTCATTCACAATTCTTGAACTCTTCAATCAAACTCGATAAATAAATAATAAAATTGAGGCATACATACAGGATATGAGACTCGGGAATCTCGGGATTGAATATAGAGACTTGTCAATTATAAGTCAATCACTTTCATACGAAATCATTCTCATATTTTCAATATTTTTTCAGACGGTTTGGAGAAACGTCTAAGGTTAATTTTGGATGATCTTTTGGGCCCAAGTCACACGTCAGCTTCCAAAAGTATATGGGACCCTGTTATTTTGGTAATATTGTCTACATACATCATTAATTTTTTAATAGATTCGATTGTACAACATTTATTTATACTTTTCATGTTGAATATCATATAGGGAATAAAGAAACATAAACTTTTGGGCGATGTACTAGCCGTGGTCGGTGGCCATCTTCGTTGGCAAAGATTATACCTCGAGTATTCGGAGCAGTTAACGGCACTGAAGAATCAAATTAATTGACGGTGATTTATCCAACAGTGCAAATTCATTATACCAAAAGCAACTTATCTTTTTCTTTGGATAATATCTTGTATATTTCTAAAGATATCGTCATGGATATATATTATAGTATAAGATTGTACAGTTTTTACAGCATTTACTTGATACAAATGTATAATAACGAATAAACGATTTCTAATAATTAGCATTTATCATGAAAAAAGATTTTATTTTTTTCGTTAAAAATGATGCTATGATGATGCTATGGTGAATGGTGGTGGGTGGTGGTGATGGGTGATGGGTCAAAAAAAATTTTTATTTTAAAAATCAAATGGTATAAAAAATTTTCTTATTTTAAAAATCAAAAAAACTATTTTTACGAGTATGTAATTACTTAAAATGAAATAAAATCGGATTTAAGAGAGGATAAAAAATTGATAGATTATTTCATAATCAACTTATATTTATCGTTTCATCTTAGAATATTCAAGTGCAATTTACACTTTATACAAGCAATAAATTATATTAAGTAATCAATTATCACAACTAGCGTTTGCTTTACTGATTATTACATAAAAATATTTGCAACGTACATATAATTGTATATTAGCAAAACATTTGAGCGAATAATTTTATTCGTCCTATTAAAGGTAAAATTATTTGTACCAATTCTTAAATTTTTGACATATGTTATATCGGCGATATATTATAATTTTCCAAAATCGTAAAATTATTTGTTGCAAAACATAACAATTTATATATTAATCTCAACTTTCTGACATATAACTGACAAAATTACTTTAACATGTAAAGTAGGATATACATACGCGAATGAACAACAAATAGATATTAAATCAGACATTTCACTATTAAAATCAATATATATATATATATACCGTAAAACACAAATAGAACATTATACATTCAATTTACTTGTAAAAATGACTCTAAATTAAACAGAAAAACTAAATGAACACGAATGAACAAATTTGCTTCGTCGACGAATATATTCCATGTCTTGTCAGTAAATGAAAAGAAAAAAAACGCTGTATTCTCATTTCATTCTTATTGTAAACGTCCAAATTCTTGATTGTTTATCCTTTATTTAATTCTTAAATTTCGCATAAATCCATCTTAAACTGATTATTTAGTTACATTAAAGAATGTGGTGTTGAAGTATATGGACATATTCACGTATTCACTGAATGTCCTTCAAATCTATAGATGAAAAACGAAATTATTCTTATATTATCAACAATTTTCACTATCATTTTTGTCTCTTTTAAACAAATTAGTGATTTTAACAAAAAACGCGCGTTCACAGCAATCGTCGGACATCTTAACTGCGTCGCATACAGAAAATATCAAATTTATCTAAATATAAATATTCATTGCAAAAGAAACAAGCATACAATGTGAAATATTCTCATTCGTTATTCATTCACTTAATGTACACCCACTTAAATACGATTGATTTGTATACAAAAGCTGTATACAATCATGTCTTTGTTTGAATCAGTCATTAGCAAACCTTAACTTTAATTATTATTTTCCGTTTGACACAAAGATGACAAAATGTCTTCGTAATGTTGCATATTTGTCTCAAATGTTTCCAATTGTTTAGTGAGATCTCCTAATTGTTCCGCAAGCGTCCTTTCTTCCATGAAAGCTTGCAATTGTGGAGCGCTTTGACATTCTCGGTAAAACGCTCCTACGTCGCTATTGGTATTCGTGACGGCAAAAGGAGTTTTCTGTAACAATATTCAAAATTTGTTTCGTACATAAATGCAATATAAAATTTGCCCAAGCTATGAGAATAAAAATATTTTCCCTACTTGTACACAAATATATATAAAATATTAATTTTTATATATTAATTTCATTAATTGTTTTGCTGCGTATTATATAATTTTCAATTAAAAGAATGTAGTAATGTATACAAGAAATACAATCTAAAAAATATACATATAAATCTAAAAACTTGGAATTATTTTTTATTAGGATAAAATAATCAGAACTTTTAATAGCAATACTGCTTAAAAACTAATGTCATAAATTTCGTTACAATATTTTTTTCAATTCAAATTCCAGTATTATAAAGTAATTGTTTATAGACAAAAATATTTTGATTTCTCTACCCTTAAGATTTTGTATGTAAATATAAATATGCATATATTCTTCATATGCTTTAAATTTAAACTTCAAGTTAGTTAAATTTAAATTAAATAATTTAAAAAAAAATGCAAAATATTTGTCTACAATTAGAAGAAATACTGTTTCTCAACATTAGGCAAATTCCATATCGTAAAACGTAACATAATAAATTATCGTGATATCATGTTCGGATTAAGAGCATCAATTACCAAATCTACCATAATAAAATCATCGTTGGCACTAGTCATTGAACAACTACTTCTTCTAGAACCGTTTTGGGAGTCGCATTTCGAAGTTGTATTATCGTTATTAAGTCTTTCGTTATTTCCATTGTTGCTATCAGTTGTAATAGCTGCCATTGCAGTCTTTGCATTAGGTTCCACTAACGATATCGGAGGAGGTGACGTTTGTTTGGGTGTTAATAGTGAACTGAACGGTACATCCGGTATCACAAGATCCTCCTCGTTGACAATGACAGGTTTGTTTATTACAAATGCACCAACTTTAATGGTGTCGCTAAGTGACTTTGATGTTTCCTCGCTACATATTTAAATGGCATTAGCATATATTAAAGAGATATGTATATATTTTTTGTTAAATACTTATAAATGTTTCACACATGTTTACTGACCTTTGCTGATATCGTGCATGACGTGGACTCAAGTCTGAATGAAAATGATCGCTCTTAAGCATGATAGAATCTCGTCCCTTATGAGTGGGTGAGATAGTCATTTTTGTTCTGTAAGAGACTGACAGATGTATAGTGCCCACTGGAGTACACAATTGACCTACTCTTACATGTTTATAGTTATCACCTGTTGTAAAATAGATATTTAATAAAAAAACATTATATAGAAAATTAATACATAAGATATCAAAACATACTACATGTACAATTGGAAATAAAAAAAAATTAGTAATAACTCTTATAAAATAATTTATAGACCAAATATTTTTCACTTCGTCGTACATAAATTTTTAAATTTAAGTTAAAAAAAATAAAATAATTCTAAATTCTTGATTAATAAACTAACCTAAATTATGTAGCTGAGGCTCTCCCATGTATATCCGATAGCACATAGTATAAGAATCAGGTCCTTGCCGTCTGCTCAATTTGTAAGCAGGCGTAACTCTTGATACAGAAATCAAGGACTTTAATAAAATTCCCATTCTGCTATACACAGTATATGTCACTCGTATAGCTGGATCACTTTGCTCTGGCAAAACGCCAAAGCTCCAAGTTTCCAAAACCATCTTGTCACCCTCCACTGTTTTCAGAGAAATTTCTATGCATAGAGGTACAGCTGAACTTACTATCTCTGTGCATAATACCCTCTTAACGTCAGCTGAGACTTCTGGTAGTTCTTTTATTGCCAGATTAAACTACAACATTAGACAGATAGTTATTTAATTCGTTCAAATAATAAAATAGTAAAATTTTAAACAATTATATAAACCATCCAATTTATTTGGTTTAATCTAACATTTTGCATAGAGTTCTTTTTAAAAGATAATACAATTTTTATAAGATATACTGATAAAAAAAATTTATTTTCCTATAACATTAAAAAATAGTTTTTATAATTTTGAATTCAGATTTTTCAGAAAAGAAGTCTTTAAATATATTTTATGTCTAATTAAAAAATCCATCTGTAATTTTCTGATATTATTTTTAATAAAGAGATAATAAAAAAAATAATATAGAGATTAAAGAAAAAATTATTCTAGATATAAATTTTAGATACGCTAAATAAACAAATAATTAAAGAACTAAAATTTTTTATATTCTCTGAAGAGATGTTGTCCCTGATGTAAACGTCAAATCGATCCTGTCGTTTGTATACCCTATTTATTTCTTATTTCATATTCAATACATTTGAATTAAAAAAAATTATGTTAATTTTAATACATGATATATACTTTCTTTTGTATTGTATAAATATTTCTTTAGAAGTAATGCCATAATAAAAAAAGAAAAAATTTTAGTACTGATATTGTTAGCTGCAGCACAGTAATACTGCATCCATTTATTAACAGGTATATCTTGAAGACAAAAATAAATAAAAAAGAACGGAACATCAGAGATCAACAGGGTGAAACCAGATAAACTGTATGGATTAAAGCAAACTTTACTTTTACCCAGTCGCCGGCTGACGAGTCCGGCTTACACGTCGTGGTGACTTTCTGGCCCGACCTCGACTGCACTATGATGTGAACAGCTCTCAGCGCGAGATACTTGGTAAACTTCTCCAAATCCTTCTTGTCTTGCATGCTTAGCTGCGCTGACATTGTACACCCTGCTACAATTATGACCGCGGCACTGCGGGTGCTCTTCGGATACGCGAGAACGAAAGGTACGTCATAGCATCGTAACGAAACGGCACCGCATCCTCGACACGTGTAACCATGTCTCTCTCTCTCTCTCTCTCTCTCTCACGCAGCGGAGATTCAAGATCGCGGAATGCTTACGCGCGCCCAGTGCGCGTTCGATGCACCTTCTGGTCTTGGAACTCTTCGCACGGACTTCGGAATTCGTAAGTGGACTTGAGCGCACGAACGATACGCTTCCTTGGAAAATTCCTCAGCAAAATCGGCATCGTCGCGCGCTGCGACCTGCGTGTGACCGCACGACAGATGATGACCCTCGGGAGCTTCGAAAATCGTATGTCCACGTTGGTCTACGTTGATGAGAACGGTTTTTATCGAAGAAGACAAGAACAATCGACAGAGAAATTTGAGAAATTAAAGTTCACTTGCGTAAAAGCGAAATATATATATATATGTATATACACACATACAAGTACCAACGAGAAAGAATACTTTCTCCCTTCCTATCTTTGCGAAATGCAGAATGCTACAGCCACAAATCGATCAAGAGAGAACTACTCTCAACTGTCGTCGTAAGTCGTTACCGAGCGCTGAGCGTTGCCTTGCCCCCGTGCCCCGTAAAGTGGACCGTGGCTGCGGTTCATTCGTGAGCCGTGACACTACATTCTACAAATGCTTCGAAGCGTTTGATTGACCAATAGGAACAAGGAATTTTATGTATATTGACCAATCAAAAAATGCTTCGTAGCATTTTCAGATGGACTTATAGCTCGTGACTGAGTGTGAGTGCAACTTCTGATTGGTTGTCTTTTTTTTTGATGAATTTAGGAACACTTTTTATCGAGCTACCCTACCCTCTGCCATCTTCAGCACCGATTGTGGCGACGCCTACAGACAAAATTCTAACCACAGTGACAGATTGTCTTCGTCGAAGATACGATCTGCACTGGTAAGGTAATAGATATTGTTGCTGAGAGTCAGGCGCGTTTTCTTAAATTGGAAAATGAAACCCAAGACGGATTTATTGAATGAGCCTGCATGGAAGCAGCTGCAACAATATTTCGATAATAATGGCTCGAAAATAAATATATACAATATGTTTCAGCAGGATTCTAAACGTTTTGAAAAATTCAGGTACGTCTCTATTTTGTTTGAAGTGACCTTGAAATGACCTTTTCAAAAGTTTATATTTATGATTGAGAAAAAACTTTTAAAATATTTCATGATTCGCGTTTTCTATTATACGTGAAATTTTGTAATAAATCTTTAAACATTTTTCTATTAAATGTAATAAAAATAATGTATGCTCCTAGATAATTATTTTGCATCTTCACAACTGTAAATAGTTCTAAATTTTTGCAAATAAAACATTACAAATTACTGCAAGAAAACTAAATGTATAAAATTTGTACTGTAAACGTATAAAAATTATACTTAAGTAATTATGTAAAACAGCTTGGAGCTCCCTACTCCACAAGATGGACCGATTTTGTTGGATTATTCCAAGAATAAAATTAATGGAGAAGTACTTGGATTATTATTTAATCTGGTATGTAGAATTAATTTATGAAATTAATAAATTATTTTGGTAGAATATTCTTAATATTTTAATTATATTATTACATCATTCTGTAGGCTCGTACACGGGAAATAGAAGCTGCAAGAAGTGCCATGTTTAATGGTGAAAAGATCAATTTCACAGAGAATAGAGCAGTCCTGCACATTGCTTTGCGTAATAGAAGCAATACACCGATATTAGTAGATGGAAAGGATGTAATGCCTGATGTTAATGCAGTATTAGAGCACATGAAAAGTTTTACGAATGAAGTAAGTTTATTATTTGTTATTTTCTGTATTGTATACGTCTCGATATATAAAAAAAATGTTTATTTACAGATACTGACGAAACAATGGAAAGGATTCACTGGTAAACCTATTGAAGATGTTGTTAATATTGGAATTGGTGGCTCTGATCTTGTAATTCATACAAAAACAGTTTCTTTTTCATTATAATTGTTGGGTATTTATTTAAGATTTAATAATTATTTCTCTTTTTATACAGGGTCCACTTATGGTGACCGAAGCTTTAAAAGCATACAGCATTGGACCTAAAGTTCACTTTGTTAGCAATATAGATGGTACTCATATAGCCGAAACTCTCAAGAAGTTAAATCCAGAAACAACTTTATTCATAATAGCTTCCAAGACATTTACAACTCAGGAAACTATAACTAATGCAACTACTGCCAAGTTGTGGCTTTTGAAGGCATTAAAAGATGTAAGAGCAAAAGATGTTAAAATTTGACGTATTGACTATATTTAAATATAATCAATACGTCTACATAATATGTATTATCTCTTATCTGACATGTTAACGCGAAATTGTTTAGGAAACTGCAGTGGCCCGCCATTTTGTAGCATTATCTACTAATGAACAAAAAGTTAAAGAGTTTGGCATCGACGTGAAAAATATGTTTGGTTTCTGGGATTGGGTCGGCGGACGTTACTCATTGTGGTCAGCTATTGGTTTATCAATCTGTTTGTCTATTGGTTTTGATAATTTTGAAAAGCTTTTAAGTGGCGCTCACTTTATGGATCAACACTTTTGCACAGCGCCATTAGAGCAAAATGTAAGTATATTGAATGTAAGAAATTACGTTCTACCAAGTTAATGATTGTCAAGTATCAATCTCGAAAATAAACAATAAGTTATATAAAATATTTATTATCGAGAGTTTCATTTAAATTATTTACTGCACAAATATTAGTATATAACTGTGTGTAACATTATAACTGACTTGAAGAAACTGGAAGGTGATTCGTTATATATTTAATGATCTAATTTATTCTTTTTAGGCTCCTGTCATATTGGCTTTACTTGGGATATGGTATCATAACTTTTATAAGGCTGAAACACATGCATTATTACCATATGATCAATACTTACATAGATTTGCAGCTTACTTTCAGCAAGGCGACATGGAAAGTAATGGAAAATATATCACTCGTTCTGGAAGACCTGTAAATTACTCCACTGGTATGTTCTACATTAAACAATATGCAGAATATATAGATTTTTGATTAATTAAAATGTTATTTTTTTTAAGGGCCAATTGTGTGGGGAGAACCAGGTACTAATGGACAACATGCATTCTATCAGTTACTGCATCAAGGCACAAGACTTGTACCAGCAGATTTTATAATACCAGTTCAATCTCAAAATCAGGTGAATAATTTTTTATATCGTCGCTGTATTTAGACGATCTGTTATTATATATTTTTTTATTTATTGCAGATTGCTCCACATCACACAATTTTACTTGCCAACTTCTTTGCGCAAACTGAAGCTTTAATGAAAGGCAAGAATGAAAATGAGGCTCGAGCCGAATTACAAAAATCAGGACTGACCGCTGAACAAGTGGACTTATTATTACCACATAAATTGTTTGAAGGAAACAGACCGACAAACAGCATTGTAGTAAAGAAACTAACTCCTTTTATTCTTGGTGCTTTGATTGGTAAATATACACAATGATGACATATATAAAATAATTGATGAGATATATAAAATATCTGACAAATCGTGGTGCAATTAGTGATATAAATATTCTTAATATTCTGTTGAATACTTTCGTCGAAAATTACGCAACGATTAAAAAACGTTTAGTCCGTAAATTTTACTTATTTTTTCATGCGCAATAATTTCTTTGCTAATTGTATCACAGTTTATTATTGAATATTAATCTGCATTAAAGTACACTACACATTTACATAGACTATTATACTATATATAGTATCTACTAATTATTATAATTTTTTACTTTTTTAGCAATGTATGAACATAAAATTTTTATTCAGGGTATTATTTGGGATATTAATTCATACGATCAATGGGGGTAAGAAAAAATATTTTTGCATGAAATATAAAGTTTCCTGCCAGTATATAAAATTTCATTGCAATTCTAAAAAAAAAAAATAATATTTTTATATATAGCGTGGAGTTGGGAAAACAGCTAGCTAAAGCCATTGAACCAGAACTGGCTAGCGCAGAAAATATCACAACGCATGACTCATCGACTAATGGCTTGATAGCATTCGCTAAACGCCACAGAGCCTAGATATACTTATTTAGCTATATTCTTTGTTACAAGATGTTTAAAATAGAAACAGCTGAACATGAATAGCTCTGTTTCAAGTTATTATATTAGAGTTTATGTATATACTTGGCATAATTAATGAAAAAGGGATTGTAAAAAAGGGAATATTAAACGTAACTCTTTAAGATTTCTTTAAACTTGTTAATTCCTCATATTATGATCATATTGGATTTATGATGTCCATATGATATAGTATGTTTCAAAATGTATTAGAATTCTATAATTTATGTACTATAGATTTTCAATACTGTCGATACATTATGGAATGTACTTTTTAAGTTGTGGTATGAAGAATTAATTATTTTAATATTATTTTAATGTACAGAAAAAAAAAGAATTATATAATTCAATGTTGCAATATTATCAGAGCAATGTAATCAGAGAAACTACAGTTATGAAAATGATTTGATCACATTTAATTTACTTACTCAATTATATTTAATGTGATCTGAGATAATTGAATAGGAAGATATAAAAGATAGTTGTAATCAGCATAATGTAAATAAGTAAAATGTATGAGTAGTAATGCAATATATATAACATTATCCTCAACAGAACATTCAGTAGTTTCCTTGATCTATTTTTGGAATATGTTTTTCAGAACATTTTCTATTCTATATATATACATATTTATATCTTATTTTATATGTATATATACCAATGTTATCTTTTATTTTTTTTTTTTACGAATATTTTTCCTTACATTTAATATTAAGGCATATTTAGTATTACATTGTTTTGTACTTAAAAGTTAAAAAATGTAATTTTAAAGGATAGTGCACTTTAAAGAAAACTTGTGCGATTAACAGTGGCTGCTCTAATTTATGAAAGAGAAAAAAATTCAAATTTATTTAAAATAGATACTAATTTGGCATCAAGTGCACTCTTTTCTTTAAATAATTTTTTAATTATACGTTTTCCGACAAAAAGATAATGCAGGAAATCCAAAAAAGCGCCATAATTTTTGATTTTCAAATAATAAATTAAATACGTACATATAAATAAAAAATGTGAGATTTTCGTATAGAAATATGTTTCTACCATGTTTATGTAATCATATACTCTAAATTTAAAATAAAATTTTATTGAATTCAACGTAATCTAACCTAAATTAACTTAACCTAACCTTTATTAATCCTGTGGAAATTAAATAAAATGACAAATTTAAGTTAAATTAACTGCGTTATCTTAGATTTGAATGTTTACATTTCTATGTTGTTCTATTTTTCTTTAATAATTCAAGATCGGCTATTTACCGATATTTACCGATTTTTGTTGTCATTTTCAGTTTTTGAAATAGGTACATCCGAGAATCATTCTCATCCTTGTCGTATCAACTATCATGCCGCCCAAGTTATTGGAGTGTTTCGATTCGACCAAGTATCTTTTCCAATTTTAAACAGACACGTGTATCATAATTCATAGAGTGGCATTGTTAAGTATTGTTAAGATAAGGTGAATAAGGTGTCCAATCAATTCAATTCGTTCCTTCGGCAGCGATCTTCCGTAACCTTTTTCCGTGTTCGAAGTGCATCAATCAGCGTGGATTAGCGTGACGCTTAATGCTATGAGATTTATGAGAAGCAATCTCATCTAGCCGAGAGAAAGAATGGAGTTGTTAGTTGCGCAGTATACTCAACTCGAGGAAAATATATTGCGAAATATCAAACGCAATGGCATAGAGCATCGGTAAGTCATTGTTCGTGTTCTTTTCCAACAGCGAGTTAACCTTGCAACGACGTTTAGACGTTTATCGCGACTATTACTTACGTTTGCAACCAGCAATAATGAAACGATTATCGTTCCAATTGATATCAAGCGGCGTAACACTTTAGCATAACGTACATTGCGCTCTTGTAACTTGACAATGACAGTCATTGATTATTCTAAAATCAACGATTGAAGAGGACTTCGACAAAACTTTTATTAATTTAACTAGACTAGATTAATTCAAATATATAGAATAATATTTATGCGAAAAGAAAAATTAGATTAGAGGCAAACTTTGCTATAAGCACTACTACTTTGATCAAAATCTTAATCCTTTCCATGCATATTGAATAACAAAAAATTTATAATTTTATTAACAAGATGGTGTATTTGCTTGATAAGTTAATTTAAAGTTGATTCAAGTTGTCCTACAAGGCTGAATTTATGTATTTGTGTATTGTATATGGACTTACCACATTTCGCAGGCCAAATGCAAGCAGTGGATTATGGCTAGGCGCTTTAGTTGGCCTGAGTGCTGTGGTTACGATATTGAGAGAAGATAGCAGTTACTCCGAGATATGTCTCTTTGTAGGAACTACGGGCTTCGGTCTCGTTCTCTGTTCTCTATGCCTTTACGCACGGCTTTCGATGAAACAGGTTGTAGCCAAGGACTTTCATGCAGTATACTTTGTACCTGCGATTATAACATCTGTACTGTTTTTACTTGCTGCTAACAAAGGTATATCAATCCGCAAATTATTCTCTTTATTGGGCAAAAAAACCCTGTTAATTGATACAAATAATGTGTTGCTACATAGAATTGAATAGTAATATACACCTATAATTCTTATTATATTTTTATATTAATTAAATAAGAACAGGACTGTTGACGAGTGTCACATGGGGTCTGACTGTCGGAAGTTTTGGCACATGGGGCGTTTTACAATTGATGTCAGCTTTTCCACGCTGCTTTACAATGGGAGAAGCCACAGTGGTTACTCATAGTTTTATTTTATTCTTGATGTCGATTGTTACCAATTTACCCTTACGATATCATTTACCTCCAATTCATGACAATGATATAAGCACAGTTTTGTTGCAGGTAATAAAATACAAAAAGTAATATATATATATATATATATATATATATATATATATACATATCTTACCTTTTTTTACATATATACATTATATGTTGCAGGTTGTGATATTGTATGTAATATCGATATGCTTCCTGTGTGGATATTTTCCTGCTCTTCACAGCACAACATACTTTTATTTAATGATAATCAGTCTCTTGTGTTTTGTAACTCTTCCGATACTTTACATTATTCTCGATCAAAATCCAATATCATGGATAGTTTATTTTGCTTTTAACAGTCATCGAAGGGTAAATAACGATATAATACTACAATTTATGCTATTTTTAAAATAAACGAGTCATAGATAAGACATAGATTACAAATAAGATTAAGAAATTCTTTAATTATCAATCTTATTTTATTTTCTTATATTGCAGATTGCAATATTTATGTATTGGGCAGTGTGTTTTTTGTTAAGTATCTTTATCATAATCTATCAGATATCGTCAAAATCCCAAGCTACAAATTCGACTAGAAAAAATTTTCATATATTAGCCACATTTGTATATATTCCTGGCATGATATATGATCCTTCGCTATTGTATCTTGCTAGTGGTGCGATGTTTATAATATTTATCGCTCTTGAGGTACTTATACAATATTATTATAATTTATTATATATTGCTGTACATATATTATAATTATTATACATGCCATATTTGTGGTTGCGTTCTGTTATTCACTGTGTACTGAAAAACTACAATATATAAACAGTAACGTGAACTGTAGATTTTCAGTACTGACAGTGAATAACGGAACGTAGCCTGTATAATGTAATTCTCATTTGTTTTTCTATATTTGATGTGATAATTCTTAATGATTTTCAGGTAATTAGATTTTTAAAAGTTCCGCCTTTGGGAGAAATTTTACAGCAAGGATTTATTGCATTTGTCGACGAAAAGGATAATTTACTTTCATTAACACCTGTATATCTATTGTGTGGTTTATCATTACCCCTTTGGATGCCAACTAATAATTTGACGCTAATGGTATTACTTAGCGGCGTGCTGACAGTAGGGATTGGTGACACTGCTGCAAGCTTTGCCGGTAACAGATGGGGTGCACACAAGTGGCTCGACACGGAAAAAACTATCGAAGGCACCATCGCATGCATATTTTGCCAAGTTTGCGTAATATTCACGCTAACATGCTGTGGTAGATTTCGATTTTTGTATCTTCCTAACACCTTTTGTTTTTCAAAACTGGTTTTGCTTATTCTTAATTATTTATATTTTGCTAGGTTTTGTGGATAATTATCAGTTACTGTTGAGAAGTATTTTGGCGACTGTATTAATATCGTTGATCGAGGCACGCACAAATCAAGTGGACAATCTGGCTCTGCCATTATTAATGTATGTATGTTTAATGATATAAGCGCGTACGTCGTTCTTTCCAATTTGATAAAAACTCGATAGCTTAAATTAATTTTTTTTTAAGAAAATTATCATAATAACAATCGTAGATACAATCATTTCATTATATAATTATTTTTGATTGCTTTTTATAATGAAAAGTAAGGAGATGTATAAGTAACTTATGCAGAACGTATGGAACATTTTTTTTAATGCTGATTCAAAGTAAAACTTATATTTCATTGATACATCTAATTGTCGTATTGTTTAACAAGTTGCCATATAAATGCATAGGCAATTAGCCTATATGATTGAAGATTGCAATATAAAGCTGATAGAAACTGCTTAAATCACAAGCGATTTTAACGTTATTCTAATTTACTTATTTGCACAATAATACGCGTAATTAGCATATTTGATAGAAAGACAAACAAATAAGGATAGTTGTGAATGCAATTATCTTTATATATGCTATGTCGTTAAGTGGTGATGTACAAATATTTATACTTACAACGGTGTAACACGTTATATATTTTTCTGTATATATCTATATATATATATATATATATATATATATATATATATACATATACATATACATATATGTAACATATATAACTTATATATTTATCCAAAGAATCAACGTGTAAAAAAAATCATTGATAAATGCGATCAATGCGAATGTAATGAAGACAGATGTTATGCATTTAAACTTTATTAATTTACATTTACTTAAAATCTGCGAAATACCGATTATGTGCCTGACATATTTCGCTTTCATTCCTTACAAGCATTTTTGTATGTGAACCGTGTAAACTTTCTGATAAAAAAAATTATTATGAATAAAGAGTTATTTTTCTATTTTATCGATGATTGTTCTTTAAACTGTTTATCTATTCATTTATCTATATATATAATTTTAAGAGAAATTTTTTAATGAATATGTATCTAGAAAGTCTAATTTTAATGAACCTGATCTCCAAGTTTCCTTCATTTTATTATTATTATTCAATAATAACTGAAGTCACTAGATTCCTTTTTTTAAAGCAGGGCGAGTGTAACGATTTGGAATAATTATAATTATTAATTGAGATATTTATTTTAGTATTTTATTGACCACACAGCCTTAAAATCTCAGTTGAGAAGCGGAATGATTACTTAAGCGAAATCTGATTTGAAATACAATTTATTGATTAAAGCAGCGCTATAAACGTTATTTGGAAATTGTCTTTTTCAAAATCAAGATAGTTACATGTACATGAAACATGCTCATGTTACGTCAGAAATGAATTCAGCCATGCTAACACAAAAAAAAAATTTTTTTTATTTCAATTTCGAAAAATTGATTATTTTAAAGAAGCACCTGACGCTACTTTAATCAATATTGTATCTCAAGTCAAATCTCAAATAAGTAACCGTTCCTTCTTTTAAGGACTTCTCAGCTAAGTACAGTTTCAATCGATCAGAGACAAATTGAACCGCCCGCGTCTCAAAATATAAAATTCCATTCTGAGTATCTCATCTGACACTCTTGAAATGAGATTCGAATAATGACTATAAATATGGCCCTTTTCAGTCCTTGGATTCTAAAATATTAGTCTGGTCTATCGATATTCAGATAATCCAATATATCGGTATTCTCTCGTTCGCACAGAATGATTCCACATGAGAGGTCATTTGTATTCGATCGCCTTCACGGTCCAAGAAAATGACAAATAGATACATATGTTATATCGCTACATACTACTTATTTGTTTCTTATGGCGTGTGTATATGTGTGTATGTATATATAATATATATATATATA